CTATTTCTATGGATCAGCTTCCTCACATTTAAAAAAGTCACAGGCAGGCCTCTACCACAGGAAACAACACACTCTCCTGCACCAACCTCTAAAAGCCCTGTGGCAATAGACCCATGGTGATGGAGACAGGACTAGTGAATCCAGTGTCTTTAGTCACAAATCTATATGCAGGTAGCAGTAGCCTGCTGGTCATCTGGCACCTGGGTTGAGATAGGGATACAATTCAGCAGTTACTACCATGACTGAGCAGTCCTATTCAGGATCCCCTCTGCTTAAGCTGACCATATGGAAATCCGGGAAATCTCCTTCCTCCCTCCCACTCCCCCTACCTGCACTCTCATACATTGGCAAGGGTGGGGCTGCATGCTGAGCAGGTAGCAGTGCCTGCCTGCTGCCTCCAGGGTGCTCTGTGCCACTCCAAATCCAGGCCAGACTGCCTTGCAACCCTGCATCTCCAGGACACCCATTATAATTCGCAACAGCCAGCTGGGACCTGCCTCTGAAATCTGGGATTGTCCCAGCTAAACTGCAACATGGAATGTTTGTACCCTGATGGATAACCAAGACAACGGACAATCAGAAAGAAAAACTGTCATCGTCTCCAGGGAACTAGGGAGATACAACATTGTCATTGCAGCTCTGAGTGAGACAAGATGCTTGGATGAGGGCCAGCTGAGGGAAGAAGGTGGAGGCTACACCTTCTTCTGAAAAGGGAAACCAGCCCAGGACAGATGTGTTCATGGCGTCAGCTGTGCCATCAAGAATCAGCTTGTCTGTCAACTTACAGAACCCCCTGTGGGCACTGATGAACATCATCCGACCTTCCATCTTAAGCTCAACAACCACCAGTATGCCACCAACATCAACGCATTTATCTCAACATGCTGCTGATGATGTCGAAGTATGATGTCTACTCCAACGTTGACCATGTGGGCCATGTGTAGATGAAATGAGAGGCATGTGTGCACAACACTTTGAAGTGGGCTAAATGCTTTTGTACCGCTTTAATGGGGTTGGGTGTTTGCATGCCTCAGCGGTGTATTGCACATTAATTCCAGTCGCTGTAGAAAATTCGGCAGCATAATGCACCTTAAATTACTTGAGGCACAGCAAACTAAAACTCCTTTGAGGAGTTTTAGTTTGCTGCCCCTACAGCCACAGAGTAAAGCACCGGGCTGCATGCAGCTTCATGGCTCTGCAGGAAGCCCTGCAGGTGGCCTGGCAGAAGCCCAGGAAAGCAGGCTCCACCCAAGAAAAGTGGCAAGCCTGATCTCCTCCCCCACCCCCCTGCCTGAGCTGCGTGGGGGCCTGGTGCTTCCCTGCGCAGCTGTGGTGCCCCCTGGGACTGCTTGAGCTGGGTGCTCACAGGCGGGCTGCCACGAAGGGAAGCACCAGCACCCCCACTCCAGCCCAGAGGCCGCTCTGCCTGCTGGCAGCTCACCCTCCTCTCCCCGCTGCTGGAGAGGCAGGTAAGTCAGCTGGGTGTGTGCACAACACAGGGGTTTAATCAGCCCTAAATTGAAGTGGTGTTTTTTTAAACACACCACTTCAATTTAGGGCCCCCATTTCGTCTACACACACCCGTTATGATTAATAACATGGTCAAGGGGATCAAGATCATTCTCCTTGGTGACTACAACACCACAGTTGGGCATGACTTGGAACTCTGGAGTAGCACCACTGGAAAGGAAGGAGTAGGGAAAACTAACTCCAACAGCATCCACTTCGTGTCTTGTCATCACAAACAGCATCTTCAGACAAAGTGACAAACACAAGACCACCTGAAGACCTCCATGCTCTAAGTACCAGCACCTCCTCAACTATGTTATTGTTAGAGCCTGTGATTGAATGGATGTCTGTATTATGTGAGTTATGCCAGGAACCAGTGACTGCTGTAGAGATAATTGTCTTGTCAGATCCATTATGAATGTCTGATTTGCTCCAAAACACTAAAAACAGCCAAAAGCAATGTGACGGACTCTCAATACCGAATCTCTTCAAGATCCAAAGGTCTGTAAGGATCTCCAGTGGTGCCTCCACAAAAAGTTCTCTGACCTGTCCACAAATGAAGGCAACATTGAGGAACTGTGGAAAGGTTTAAAATCACTATCCATATGATCTGTGCTGAATCCATTGACTATACTGTCCATTGACTCTAACACTGGTTTTATGAGAGCAATGCCAAGATCCAAGCCCTCCTTGACCAGAAGGGAAGGGCTCATTCTGCTTGGGAAAATGACACTTATCTCAGCAAAAGAAAAAAATGTACCAGATCCTCAAAGCCAAAGCTCGAAGAAGGATCTGGGAAATCAAAAAGGAGTGGTGACAAGATAAAGCTAAGGAAGTCCAGTTCTAAGCTGATAAACATGACATGCATAGCTTTTTTCCAGGCAACAAAAGCCATCTATGGCCCAACTTCCCATGGTCCTACTTTCCTGTGATCACAGGATGACTTGACAGTCCTCAAAGAGAATGAATCTATCCAAGCTAGATGGAAAGAACACTTTGAGGCACTCCTAAACTGTGAGTCAAATGTGGAGGATACCACCATCAAGTCCATCCTTCCAATATCCTGGAAAAGAAGCCCTCACCAACTCTTCTATCCTAGAAGTCTGGCATACCATCAAAGAAACCAAAAACAACAAGGATACCAGACCGGATGGCATACCTGCTGAAATCTCCAAGGCTGGTGGCAAGGAACTGGTACTGAGACTCCACAAATTTGGAACAACAAAGAGGGACATGAGGAATGACAGCACCGTGACCATCTTCAAGAAAGGAGATAAGTTTATGCAGGAACTACCAAGTTAACACCCTCCTTTCCGCAGCAGGGAAAATTATTGCTCACATCCTTCAAAACAATCTTCTACCTCTTGTTCAAGAAGTCCTGACAGAACCTCAGGTTCAGCTTCAACTGTTTAGGTCTACAGAGCACAGTTTTGAAAATGCTTCTTTTTTCTAAAATGTAATTCAGGAAGCCAAAGTACAAGACTGATAGCCCAGAAAGCAAAGAGATTTAACTACAACAGCCTTTTTCCTTACCTCGCAGATGTGTGCACACAGTACTGAAAAATGAATAGTTTATTTTCCTATCCTAACATAAACATACACTTCACTGTGTTAATATGCTTGAACCTACACTGACAGTAAAATGAAATACTCTTTTATACAAATCATTATTAAAATGTGAAGGCTGTGATTACGAAGTGGGAGAGGCCAAGAACAAAGCCATATTAAAAAAAAAAAAGGATTAAGCATTTTTATGAAGAATTTGAGCATCTACTGTTATGTTAGATGTGATTTTTTATATCTGGGATATAAACTCATGCTTCAGGGAATAGGTTTATATACCTTCCTCTGGACTTGGAATAGTTTACTGTGGCTAACCTGTTGTATTTTGCTAGCCTGTTGTATTTTAGTAATTTCTATGCTTTAGATACCTGATCTGCAGATTCTAATTATTGCCAATGATACTTTTTAGTACTAACATGAGCTCCTGTTATAAGGATTGCAGCTCCTGTTTTGTCCACTGTCAATACAATCCAAATTTGCTATTCATTACTCTTTACCATTATTTCTAATCCTGTTAAAATCTCCTGTCATTTAATTCTGAGGTCATGATAAAACAAGTTCTTCAAATTAAATGTGTAAGCCCTTCCTCTGTTCACAGATACACACCCTTCCTGTGTTCTTCCTGTGCTTTAGATTATATTTAAATGCGGCACGCACGCCAAATACAGGTAATAAACAGCTGCTATGCTCTAGGAGAGCATCGTGTGGCAGTAACAAATATAAATTCCTGTATGCCACAAGAGATGGCCCATGGAGTTTTTTTCCTTTTTGTGCTCTGGGAAATCATACTTACCTTGCACTTATCTGTTTGATAATTTGATGAACATAATTCCTCCAGCTGGCTTCCTTCCCAGTTACTAAGCATCATTAACACGAGTTGTTAATTAATTTCATATGCTGGGCTTTTCCTTTTATGGCAGTCAGCTGTGACTTCACATCACCTCATTGCAAGGTATATCATCATCAGCCTCTGTGCACACCTTCGGTTTACGCGTTGCCCTGGAGCAGGATGGGACCTCTTCCAAAGTTCCATTCCAGAAATTACTGAGGCTTCTGTGTTTAAACAGGGCCCAGCAAACTGTCAGTGCTCGGTAAAACGCAACAGGAATGCTGTGAGGTCCTGTCTAAACACGAAAGCCCTTCACAACCTGATCCGGGGAGGTGCGGAAGGCCTTCCACTCCCATTAGTTGCTGGGGGATTGGAGGGCACCCAGCAAGGTGCAGGACCAGCTCCCAGACCTGCTGGTGAGGTTTTCTCCCTTTGGAGTCCTGACGTGTGGTTTGTGAACTTCCTAGAAATCTGGGGGGAAGGGGGACACAGTACAGAACTAAGTCTCCAAATTGCGGCGCAATGACAGAACTTGAGAACGTAAGTGCCGCACTGGGTCAGACCAACGGTTCACGTAGCTTAGCATCCCGTTTCTGACAGGGGGCCGAGGCTCGGGTGGATGGGGACCACGGGCCAGCCCCAGCACCGACCCCTCCTCATCGGCGACGCGTGCTCGGGTACAAACACCCTTCAGCTAGCTCAGCAGCTGTATGCTCCCCAGCCCCGCCCGCACCCCGGGGCAGCTTCCACCCCTCTCTGTCCCGGG